GTCGTGACTTGGCTGTGCGGTGCCCCTTGCGCTTTCGTAATTAAGAGAGCCCGCCGAGTGCTTTGTCTGCCCCTGACGCCGTGGAAAATCTGGCCGTCTTTGCTTTCTCACACATACAAAGAAGCGTGGGGCGACATATCTAGGCCTCGCCATATCGTATGACGCACTGCCTCTCCACTTATTGCATAGTAGCAACCGATGCACGCGAACAGGACATCCACCTCGCATAACGTATACGCACACGCATTCCGATTCCGACGTCCCCTTTCCCGTGCAGTCACCCACACGACTATACGCTGTACGGATGGGCGTGCTCATAGTCTCGCTCGACAAACATGGCGGCAATCGATCCCCCCAGAGCGGTTGACTTGGTCCGCACGGCGTCGCAGAGCTCGACCATATCCAACCCACGGAACCGCAGCATACAGCGCATGCGGCCCTCGAAGCGCAGCTCCAACACGTCGCTCAGCCGCAGCCGCAGCAGAGCGCCCTCGCCCGAAGTCGACACCAAGAGCCTCACGTCCTTCCCCTCACTGTCGCCTAGCCCGGAGACGTCACCGGCACAGTCGCGCGTCAACGGCTGGTTCCGCTCCACGCCAGCGCCCGAGGACAGCCTTAAGAATGCTGAGAGCAGGACGGTTGCATCGCCCGACACGGTCAAGGCGATTCCCCCGCCGGACCTCAAGAACACGACGCCTGCGTCTACCGTCAGGAAGGTCACCAAGTCGACACAGCAGATAGTGGGCAGTCTGGTAGCCGCCTCGTCTGCCAAAGACCGGACGGCTCTCTTCGACGATACCCCCACCGAGTCCGCCAAGGTACCCGGAAACCTCCACTTTGCGAGCGACGACAGCATACAGGATGCGCTGCGACAGACGGGCGCCGTGGCGCTGGTCAAGCAACTCGCTGGCGACCTGGCACAACGTGATGCGCAGATCACGGCCCTGCGGAGACGAGCCGAAGAGCGCGAGCGCATGCTGAGGAAGATGCTGCAGGAGTGCGAGGTCTCCAACATGGACATTGAGAACCGGCTGCGCGAGCTGGAGAAGAGCAAGGAGCCAGGCAACGGCCTCACCAAGACGAGGACGAGAGGCGACAGCGCAGCCACTGGATTGCACCCCGACGACCCCATGGAGGACAGACTCGCCAGGGCTATGGAAGACGAATTGGCTGAGCACCCCGATGCTCTGGGTATGGACACGGGCACCTCAGCGCCTCAGGCAGAAGTCATGTCCATCAACTCAGTCGCGTCGGACGCGCCACGCGACACATCCAAACCAAACTGGAAGACCTACATCTGGGCTGGGACGAGCAAGAAGAGCAGCCGAGCACCGTCCGTAGCGAGCATGGTGGACAGAGAAGCCGAGACTCTGGGGCATACCCGGTCGCGCGCATCTAGTGGAGCAAAGCCACCCCGCAAGGCACTCGCGAGCGATCTCTTCGTCCCTCCAGCCGGTGCTGTACCTGCATTGCGCCGACTCAACAGCTCAGACCATGCTACAGATTCGGCGCGTAGATCTTCGTCGACATCGCTAGCAAGCTGGGCGTTGAAAATGGTGGCGGGAAACAACGCTGCAAACCCCAAGGCTAATACAGTACGAGGCCGCAAATCCACAGCCTCGAGTGTTGTCGACCGTGCGCCTTCCATGGATTCGACCAAGACGGCGCAATCCGCAAAGTCATCGCTCGCCAGCACCCAAAGACGAGGTCGCGCCTTGGGCCCCAATGGAACAATCAAAAGCACCGCGCTAGAACAGCCCAAGAACGTGTCGAATGGTCTCGGTCCGACTCCGCCTGTCCGTGGAATGAGCAATCTTGGGCCTGTGGAGATGGACCGAATCCTGCCTGAGGACTCACGACCACCGACGCTAGTACAGCAACACAATAGGTTCATCGGCAGCAGCGAGTACTTGACTGATAGATTTGGTTTCATCTACGACCAGCGTCGCAAGAAGAGACAGAGCGAGGCAGCGGCTGAGTTGATCAAGCAGAAGCGAAGCAGCAACGTGGAGTCACTCGGCGACGCCAGGACTGCACTCAGCAACTTGGCTCTCGACGAGGACCATGAACATGCAGGCTCTGTTCCCGCGGATCAGAATGATGGCACCACACGCCCATCCAGCTCCGACTCCGATAACCACCAGAACCAGCCAGCCAGCAAGACGTGGGTTGATTACCTGAAGCTAGCCACGCATCCAACTGAACTCCTCTCACACACTCCATCCGCGGCGCCCATCACCACCGTAGAGTCAGCAGAGGGCGAGGTCTCAAATTTCAAAATCGGCAACAACCAAATTACATTGATGAAGCGAGGGTCTGCACCAACGGCGAGTGTCAACCCAGAGCCATCACCATCGCGTATCGTCTCAGGTAATGCAGAACTTTCCGCTACAACCACTTCACCGGGCCCATCTACTCCGATCAGCCAGTATCCCCCGCAGATCGACCCAGTGCAATCCCTACTAGAGCAGATGAGTGAGCTGCACGACAATCTCCAAAGAGAGAGGACGGTCAAATGGAACGACTTTCTGCGTAAAGTGCGTGCACAGAACAAGCGTGAAGGGGACGTTGCCAGCACTGGCGAGAACGGCAAAAGCAACGCAATGCCCGAGCAGTTCCTCGCCGATGGTGAACTGGTAGGCATCGCGGGCTTAGGTAACAAAGGCAAAATCGGACGTGCCAAATGGCAGGAGTTCCGTCGTCTTGTTCTCGGTGGTATCCCAGTCAACATGAGAGCCGCGATCTGGGCTGAAGGAAGCGGCGCGCTGCATCTGCGCATGCCAGGCTACTACGAAGACCTGGTAAACAACGGTGAAGACGATCCCACCATTGCAACCCAGATCCAAATGGACATCACCCGCACACTTACCGACAACATCTTCTTCCGTACAGGACCTGGCGTACAGAAACTACAGGAGGTACTCCTCGCCTACTCCCGCCGCAACCCCGAAGTCGGTTACTGTCAAGGCATGAACCTAATCACCGCCTGCCTCCTACTCATCATGCCCACCCCCGAAGACGCATTCTGGGTCCTAACCGCCATGATTGAAGAAATCCTCCCGCAACACTACTACGACCAACACCTCCTCACCTCGCGCGCCGACCAATCCGTCCTGCGCTCCTACGTCAGCGAAATCCTCCCCCGCCTCTCCTTGCACCTCGACGAACTAGAAATCGAGCTGGAGGCGTTAACCTTCCAATGGTTCCTTTCCGTCTTCACCGACTGTCTCTCCGCCGAAGCCCTTTTCCGTGTCTGGGACGTCGTCCTATGTATGCACGACGGCTCTACGTTCCTCTTTCAAATCGCACTTGCGCTGTTGAAATTGAACGAGAAAGCGCTGTTGCAGTGTGATACCCCAGCGGGCGTGTACCACTACATCAACCACCAAATGACCAACCACGCCATCAGCATCGACGGCCTCATCCAAGCCTCCGACGCGTTGGGTAAAGTCATCAAGCGCAAAGACGTCGAGGACCGCCGCGCAAAAGCCGTAGCGCACGAAGAAGAACTCATGCGTCAGCGTGAGGAAGCGAGACAAGAGCGCGCGAGGAAGCGGGCTAGTAAGCTTTCGGACGTATCTGCGCCGCTGCCTACGCAACCGGAAGAGGATGCGAAGAGTCTGTCGGCTAGTCTCGACGCGGAGTTGTCGTCACGGACGAGTCCTATGGCTACGCCGTTGAGTAGCGCGACAGCACGGAGTGAGGAGGAGGAGGATGCCGAGTATGTGAATCAGAGTTTGGAATTGACGAATCGCACGCCGATGCCTATGGATGAGGAGTTTATGTGGCGGGGCTGATGAATTGGGGAGGATGGAGTTGGATGGGAAGAGGTGATACGACGTTTTTTTCCCTTTGTTACAGACGTACGTATATATTTGCATCGCTGGAGTTTGGGGTTACGGGACTGGGACTGGGTATGGGATCATCGTTCCTTTTCATCTATATACCCCATCGCCGCTGCTTGCTGGATGCCCGCTCTAAAATCGGATTGGATTGGATTGGATAGTTTAAACACAATGGATACCCCCTTCTTACTTTCCGTGTCTCCGTCTTCGTCCTCCCATGTGTGTTTATCTCTTTCTTCGTCCTCGAGATCCGTGATAAGACAGATGAAAGACGACACTTGTCTTGTTGTCGGGTGAGTTCACCCATGTCCCGCCGAACGTAGCACACCCTCCTCGCCATTTTATCCAAAGATCATCAAACTACTTAACTATCCATTCAAAACTCTCAAATTTATAGCGTACGTATGTATATAGCTATCGCGATAGTTGACCTCTAACTAGGATTTCACTACCGGAATCGTCGCATTTGAGTCTACAAGGTGTTCAGTGAGCTTCATTCTAGTTAGTATGCATAGCATGCCCTACACAGCTCTGCCTGTAATGTCCCTTTGATGGTTTCCATCAACCAGCGCACTTGTAAAAATATCTAGTAATTCTAGTTCATGCTGCTTTTTGCTGACAAACTAGTAAGTAGCAACGACATACGCCCAGTCTTCCCACGCAGGATCGCGCGATGAGTATCGTCACGGAAACTTATCACATCACTGTGAGATTGAAACGTTATGCAATCGGTCTGGGATACCACGAGTATGTTGGGGAAACAAGTGTGGGATATATTGTTGTCGTGTATCCCCCACCACATTCGAGTAGCTACTAACTAATTACTTTTCTGCTTGTGACTTTTTGGCTTCCAGTCGTCAGCCACACACATGCTGCACTATCCCCTCGAGATGTTCGGCGGCCACCTAACTTGACCCGGACTGGCTAGTCTTGACGACGTTGCATACTCCATTGATACAAATAGCCGGCGCAGGAGGTCGACCGCCGATGAGGGGACAGCCATCTTCCTCATCCGCACCTTCATCGTCATCCAGCAGGCTCACAGTGCGTCCTCTCAGGCCGCGCTTCTTATTGCCCTTCTTAGTCACCCCGGTCTTGACGTGCCCTTGTGGGCGGCGCTGGGAGGGAGGCGTGTTCTGTTTGTGGAAAACCTCTTCAACTATCATCCTCAAGGAAGAAGTAGTTTCCGCTCAACTTCTGTTCCTGGTCAAGCTGGGACTTGTCCTTGTTGATACGGGGACGGAAGGAGTTGGGGTCACGGCGGAAGGTGACGTCCAGGTTCTTCAGGAAAGAGTTGCAACCAGTGAGGAGAGACTCGGGCTTGTTGGCGCGAGCGTTGACAGCAGGTTGGCCGTCGAAGACAATGACACGGTCAGCAAGGTAGGTGGCCATGATGAAATCGTGCTCGACGACGAAAGCAGTCTTCTTGGAGTGCATAATGAAGCGCTTGATGACACGAGATGCGACGATACGCTGCTCGGAATCGAGGTAGGCACTAGGCTCATCGATGAGGTAAATGTCAGCTGGCATACCAAGGGCCAGGACGATAGCGACACGCTGCAATTCACCACCGGAGAGGTTCTGCACTTCCTGGTCGATGAAGTCGTCCATCTTGAGGGGCTTGTAAACATCAGTCTGGAATTGAGGGCTGAGGAAAGCGGTCTTGATCTTCTTGAAGAAGAGCTGGCGAACGGTACCCTGGAACCTGGGGGTGATGGTCTGGGGCTTCATGCTGATGCTCATCTTGGGGATCTTGGTGTCGCCGTCGGGCTGCAGAGCGCCGGCAAGCATCTTACAGAAAGTGGTCTTTCCGGTACCGTTCTCACCCATCATGACGATGATCTCAGAGTCAGTGAAGTTACCAGTCTCGATGTTGAGTTCAAAGCTTCCGAGGGTCTTCTTCATGTTAGGGTAGCTGTAGCCGCGGTTGTGGTCAACCATGTATTCGTCACCAGCCTCTGCGATGCGGAACTGCAGCGATTCCTCACGGAAACGCAAGTTCTCGGTGGGAATGTTACCATCCAGGAAGATGTTGATACCTTCACGGACGGATGCGGGCAGCGTGACGACACCGTAGACGGCGGGCTTTCCATAGAGAACACAGATGAAGTCGGAGAGGTAGTCGAGGACGGACAAATCGTGCTCGACGACAATGACATAGTCGTCGGGGCGGAGCAGACTGCGGATCTTGCGGGCTGCGGCGAGACGCTGCTTGACATCCAAGAAGGATGACGGCTCGTCAAACATGTACACATCGGCCTGTTGGACACAGACAAGCGCAATAGCGAAACGCTGCAGTTCTCCACCAGAGAGTTGTCCAATGTCACGCTCGAAGATGTGGCGCAGCTCCAACTCGTCAATCATCTCGTCGAGGTTCTCCATCTGGCTGCGGGCCCCGATGAGCTTGCCGACGCTGCGCTCGGTCGACTTGATGGCCTTGGGAAGTTGGTCGACATATTGGGGCTTGACGACGGCCTTGAGGTTGTCTTCCAGGACCTTTGTGAAGTAGTCTGTGTGTTGTTAGCCAGTGATTTCTTTGTCTAGAAACCAGTGCCTTACTCTGGAGTTCAGATCCGCGGAAGTACTTCAGGATCTCCTCCCAGTCTGGCGGGTTGTCGTAGCGACCGAGGTTGGGCTTGAGCTTGCCACTGAGAATCTTCAGCGCTGTGCTCTTGCCAATACCGTTTGTTCCCACGAGACCCAAGACCTGGCCCGGACGGGGCATAGGCAGCCTGTGCAGCTTGAAGCTGTTCGCCGAGTATCGGTGGGTGACCTGGGTCTCGAGATTGGTGGGCAAGTTGATGATGTTGATGGCGTCGAAGGGGCATTTCTTGGGGCAGATACCGCATCCAATGCAGAGGCGCTCAGAGATGAAGGCAATTTTGGACGAGTTGTCGACCTCGATGCACAGCTTGCCCGTGCGGACGACGGGACACGACTTCTTGCATTCTTGGCGGCATTTCTGGGACGTGTTAGCACAGGGAAGGCGTGACCGAGGGGTGGCACTTGCCTTGGGCTTGCACTGTCAAGCGAACATCTTCATGTTAGTCGGAGATCAATTTTTGAGTGTGGAGGGGTAGTGGGGTACCTTGTCGGAGTTGACAATAGCGATACTGGACGGTGTTAGCAAATACACGTGGGTGAGGTCTTTCACGACATGTGACGTACCGGGTGAGCTTGTCAGACATGTTGGCGGCGGCTTTGTTGTTGCGGCGGTTGCGGTTGTGGGCGGCCCTGGAGTCGCAAACTGAGATGAGGGTGACGGCTAAGCAGTGCGTGGGTGGACTCGGCGACAGTCACTGCGAGAGAGGCGCGTGGGATGTTGGAGGCGGAGAGTGAAGGGAAGGTCACCAACGACTGCACGGGTAGCAGAGAACAATGAAAGAGTTGACTGACGTTGTTGGCGAGCACGCTGGGTCAGCGATTTTGGCGGCTTGTGATTGGGGCATACAAAGGCGCAAGGTTGAAGGCCCGAGCGCGCGCCTCTCTCCAGGGCTAGCAATGAACCTCCGCTTCCACAATCTACCCACACCTCACCCTACCCCCAACCCCCACCCGACTCTCACACCGAGGGTATCTTGACCATGGACTGTATGTATATTCCCTTTTGAGTCTCCCGTCGCGTCTGCTTCACCCGCGGTTCTGCCTATATCGCCGGTCGGTGGCCTTGTCCGCGTCCATCAATCCCATCGCCAGTTCACGCCTACGCATCCAGCAACTCGCCTTTCACGTAGAACACGCTCTTCCGCGGCCCAAAGAGCGCCTATATCAGCCCTCCACCACCGTGCACACTCTCCCCGCCCACCCACCGGCTCGCGCGACTCCACCGCCTTTCTCCCATCAGGCGCTCGACCCCCAAGACCGCATTCCATCAGACTTCCATTGTGCAAGTCACTGCCCTGGTTCCTGGTCGCGTTCTGGCTATTCTGGATCGCGTAGTTGCGCTCTATCCAACGCACCCGCTCCGAGCCGCCGGAGCCCACAGAAGGTCGAAATATCGTACTGACCATCCACACAGCCGCGTCCATCATGATGCCCTCTTCACCAGGCCATGTCGCCTCGTTACCATACACAAACGGTCATTTGTCGCCTCTCGCAGCCCATATGACGGCCGCCGATAGCTCCTCCCAACACAGCGACAACGACCAGTCCGACACGCAGGAGGCCGCCGCAGTCGACCCAGCCTCCGATGTCGACGCGCCGGGCGAAGAGTACGACGAAGACGACGAGGTAGCTGCTGCTTCAGACTCGTCTGAGGATGTCGACGCAGAGGGCGAGCCGGACGGCGACTACGACTCTGAGTCACCGCCGTCTGAACAGGCAGAGAGCGACCGCGCCCGCAGTTCATCAGAAGAGTCAAGGCGGCCGCCGAAGCGGAAGGCTAGCGATGAGAAGGAGGACTACATTGAACAGAACCCGGAGCTATATGGTCTGCGTCGCAGCGTACGTGGCATCTCCAGTCTGCATGTACATGAGCTAACTCCAGTCCAGGGTCGTGCCCGCCCTAGTCGTCGCGTCGTAAGTGGCCCCCAGTTGATGGAAGAAGCATCTCTAACAGTCTGCAGGTCGATAGCGATGATGAAGATGATGAAGACTACAGCTCTGATCAGCCCCGCAAGCGACAGAGGACAGCCTCGCGGAAGAGTTTGTCAACTCTCACCTGCCCATCTGAAGTCGTACTAACCCGTCTGCCCAGCCTCAAACCAAGCCACACCAGTCTATCGCTCAGCTGGCTCCGACTCCGAGTCGGATGGCTACGTTGGTGCCCGTCGCAATATCCCTACCAAGAAGCAACGCCAACGTCAGCACGCCGTTGCCGCAGGCCGCGAGCCCCCATCACAAGCCGAGGTCCGATTCTCTGCACGTCGCACTGTCCAGGTCGCCAACTACAATGAGGAAGAAGACGAGGACGAGTTCGTGGAAGAGGACGATGAGATGACCCCCAACTACTGGGCGACCGCGCCTGAAGACGCTGGCCCCGTCATCGACAAGATCCTTGACCACCGGCCGAAGGATGGACTAGGTAAGAAGAGCCCATGAGGTCATATGCTAGCACGTACTGACAAACAATAGAAATGGATCCTTCGTTCGACAAGCGGGATTTCGAGTACTTGGTAAGCACTGCTCACAGCCCTGGTTGCAAATACGCAGTACTAACTCGTTGCCCTAGGTCAAATGGCAAGACAAGGCTCACTACCACTCCACATGGGAAGACTACAAGACGGCAGCTTCCTATAAGGGCTACCGCAAGCTGGACAACTACTACAAGGGCCCTGTCCAGAACGACATGTATGTCTACAGCCGCAAGAACGCCGATCCGGAAGAGTACGAGCAGCACATGGTTGCACGCGAAGCTGAGCGCGAGAGCCAGCTCGACTTCCACGTCGTGGAGCGTGTGATCGACTCACGAGACGGTGAAGACGAGACAGAGTACTTCGTCAAGTGTAAGTTGACTCACCCCACCCCTATCTGGATTACCTAACGCTCTACAGGGAAGGGACTGACTTACGAGTTCTGCACCTGGGAGCCCGCGTCCCTCGTCAGTCGATTGTCGCAATCCGAGATTGATCGATTCCTCGACCGCTCATCTAACCGACCCTCCTCCGATGCCCGCGAGGCGAACCCGAACACTCGCAGGAAGTTCATCAAGTTGGACACACAGCCTGACTACATCAAGTTTGGTCAGCTGAGGTCCTTCCAACTTCAGGGTGTCAACTTCCTTGCGCACAACTGGTGTCGCGGCACAAATGTCATCCTCGCCGATGAGATGGGTCTGGGTAAGACAGTGCAGACGGTGTCCTTCATCAACTGGCTCAGACACGATCGGAGGCAAGACGGCCCCATGATCTGTGTCGTGCCTCTGTCGACCATGCCTGCATGGGCAGACACCTTCAACAACTGGACACCGGATGTCAACTATGTCATCTACACCGGCAGGGAAGAAGCCCGTAGCATCATCCGAGAGAAGGAGCTGTTGGTCGACGGCAACACCAAGAAGATCAAGTTCAACGTGCTCCTCACCACATACGAGTACGTCCTTGCCGACTGGCAGTTCCTCCAGAGCATCAACTGGCAGTTCCTTGCTGTCGACGAGGCGCACCGACTGAAGAACCGCGAGTCGCAGTTGTACGACCGACTCCGACAGTTCAAGGCACCATGTCGACTTCTCATCACTGGTACCCCCATTCAAAACACCCTTGGAGAGCTGGCTGCCCTAATGGACTTCCTCATGCCAGGAAAGATCCAGGTTGATGAGAACGTCGACCTTGCTTCGGAAGACGCCAGCCACAAGCTTGCCGAACTCAGCTCAGCGATTCAGCCATACATGATTCGCCGCACCAAGGAGAAGGTAGAGAACGACCTACCTCCCAAGTCTGAGAAGATTCTCCGTGTTGAGTTGTCAGACATTCAGCTTGAGTACTACAAGAACATCCTCACGCGCAACTACGAGGCGCTCAATGAGGGTGGAGTCGGCCACAAGCAGTCTCTACTAAACATCGTCATGGAGCTCAAGAAGGCTAGCAACCATGCTTTGCTCTTCCCGAACGCGGAGAACAAGCTCGTCAAGCCCGGTGCGACCAAGGACGAGACCCTGAAGGCCCTCATCACCTCCAGTGGCAAGATGATGTTGCTTGACCGACTCCTCGGAAAGCTCAAGGCCGACGGTCACCGCGTGCTCATCTTCAGTCAGATGGTCCACATGCTGGACATCTTGACCGACTACCTGAAGCTACGCAACTACCCGTTCCAGCGTCTAGATGGAACAGTCCCAGCAGCAGAGAGGAAGATCGCTATTGATCACTTCAACTCTCCCGGCAGCGAGGACTACTGCTTCCTTCTATCGACTAGGGCTGGTGGTCTCGGTATCAACTTAATGACTGCTGATACTGTCGTTATCTTCGACTCCGATTGGAACCCTCAGGCGGATTTGCAGGCCATGGCTCGAGCCCATCGTATTGGTCAACAGAAGCCAGTGAGCGTCTACCGTCTTGTCTCCAAAGACACCATCGAAGAGGAGATTCTCGAGCGCGCTCGTAACAAGCGCATGCTTGAGTTCATCACAATCCAGCGTGGTGTAACCGATCGTCAGCAGAAGGAGCTCAACGACAAGATGAGTCGTGCAGCAGCAGAGCCCAACTCCGCCGACGACATTAACAATATCCTCAAGCGCCGCGGACAGAAGATGTTCGAGCAGTCTGGCAACCAGAAGAAGCTGGAAGAGCTCGACATTGACTCAGTCCTAGAGAACGCTGAGGAGCACAAGACCGAGCAGGCTGCTGGTCTTACATCTGATGGTGGCGAAGAGTTCCTCAAGAACTTTGAGTACACCGATGTCAAGATCGATCTCGAGTGGGACGACATCATTCCGAAAGAAGAGCTGGAGGCAGTCAAGGCTGATATCCAGCAGCGGAAGGTCGAAGAAGAGACTCAAAAGCTTCTTGAGGAGAGCGCACCACGGAAGCGCAAGGCAGCCTCAGCAAGCGCACGCGAGCAGCGAGCAGCAAAGAAGCGAGCCCTTGAGGCTACCAACGTCGAAGCCGACGACGATGAGCAATCCGAGCCAGACGACAACGTCAAGCGCGATCCCAAGCGGCCTCTCAACACAAAGGAGGCTCGTAACCTCATTGGCGCGTACTGCCGATATGGTTCACTCGAGGAGCGTGGCGAAGAGATGCTCCGCGCAGCTAGGCTTGTTGGTCGCGACATGGAGGTGGTCAAGGCCACTCTTGATGAGATCATCTCTATGAGCACGCAACTCGTCAAGGATGAGCAGACTAGGCTCAAGAACCTGGAGGCTGAGACTAAGCGTCCCATCACGAAGAAGGACAAGAAGGCCGTTCTTTTCGACTTTGGCAAGGTCAAGAAGGTCAATGCAGAGACTATCCTTGAGCGGCCCATCGAGATGCGTGTCCTGAAGGAAGCGGTTGAGGCAACTCCCGAGTGGCGCAACTTCCGTGTACCGGACGCCATCAAGCCTGCGAGCTACTCTTGTCCCTGGGGCGCACGCGAAGACGGCATGCTTTGCATCGGTATTCAGCGCCACGGCTACGGTGCATGGATTCCCATCCGTGACGACCCAGAGCTTGGTCTTACCGACAAGTTCTATCTCGAAGAGCATCGTGTTGACAAGAAGGAAGAGCGCACGAAGGGTGAAGAGAAGAACGCCAAGTCTCCTGGCGCCGTGCAT